CTTTAACCCCAAATTAAGTGAGGGAACCTTGCCAAATGAATGCAGAATTGTGGGTCTCCAACGGCGCTTGTGCGTCATTTTTGCGCGCCCGCATGAGGGCGAACCTAGCTAGGAATTGGAGCCTTCGCTTTGCCATTCAGTCTTTGCTTGTTCATACCGTAGCGGTGGTGACGCACAGCTTTTGAATCTTTGATTTAGCTCTGGGCTGATAGCACATCGCCCCACTCCAGTGTTTTTGACCGTTGTGCCATTTCCCTTGGCAATATTCCCTTACTGGGCATCACAAAAAACACTCAACAGCAGTCCAACAGTGCTTGCTCTGTCCATGCCTTACGCAATGCAAGCTGACCATGCCATGATGTGGGTTTAGGGTTTAGGGTTTAGGGTTTAGGGTTTAGGGTTTAGTATGGACTCCTTTTGACAATAGATCATATTACAGCACATAATGCTCAGGGGTACCAAAATGGGACGCTAATTTTGAGAACTGCCCATGCGTCAGCGTTGGATTCCAACGAGCTTTCTTGAGCTACTTGGGCTTCCCCTTCCTAAACCCAACACTAAACCCAACACCCTAAACTTTGGTTTAGGGTTTAGGGTTGAAATAGGGTTTGGATGAATGCTTTAGAGTCCCTAGACCATTCAACCAAGGCGCAATCTCCCTTTCCAAGAGAACTCGGATCTTGCACCCGCGCTTCTCAGCAGCTTCGAGGGCATTGACAATGGCAGGCGACTTCAGCGTCAGGGAAGAAATCATCATGACCAGACCTCAGCTATGTGTCACTATAAACTTCCAGTGTCCATGTAATTTTCCATGTTCCTTGCGATTTGATTCTCCATTAATTCATAATTACCCTGAACTTCCGAAATCTAAACCCTACCTGCGGAGAAGCCCGGGGAACACGAGACCATGCCGTGCACTTGTTGGTATGGTCGCGATAGAACCGGGTTCCTACTGAAAAACTTGAGCTTTGCATAATAAGAATTCTTGGTTGCTCAGAAACGTGACTATTGTGGATTCTAGGCCCGCCTGCGTGTTAGCGCGCGTCTATTGCTTGTTTTCTACGCTGTGCCTTAACTGCTCTTTCTGTTGTCACGATACCAAGCTGTTTTCAAATATCACGGCGTTGAGTATCCTGTGCTCTGACGCCCAAACCCAAGCCTGAACGCAAAACCGAAACGTTACACCTTAGCCCGGTCGACTAAGTCCTGCAATTGAATGCCTAGGGCTTAGTGTTTAGCCCAAAGACCTCTCGATTGCTCCTGAGCCCCCCCCTTATAGATGGTCCTGACAGTGGGGTGGGGACCCGTGGTCCCGACACTGTTGGGATGGTCCCGGACCACTTATGGTCACCGTGGTGACGGTGCCAAATTTGGTCTGGTCTGGGACCCTTTTCTTGTCAGACGCATTCTGCAGTGTAAGCGTGACTTCCTGTTCCTGCAGGCTCCAGTTATCTTGCTTCTATGATTCGGCAGAAACCTTTCAGGCGGTGTCAGGAAGCTGATAGCTACAGGATGCTGCAGGTAGGCATGAGCAGATGCTTTCAGCATAGAATATACGGTCACAAACCAAGTCAGGCATATGTATGGTGCATCACTCAATCATCGAAACCCCCTGCCCAGACCATTTTTGCGGCTTCTTAGTGTTCTAGGTATACCACAAAAGGAAGTCTAGGGCAATACGGAGAGGATGGAGGAAAGAGTCCAGGTTTGGGGGGGGGGGAGTACTCCTGTGGCTGCTGCAAGAGAATTCTATCATCATCTGTCATCGAGGCCCCATGCCGGGACCATTTTTGTGGCTGCTTAGTGTGTTCCAGGTATTCTAGGTAAACAATTCAGAGAGATGAAGCAGGGCGCATGCAGAAATACGATGAAAGAGGTCCAGGTTTGGGGGGTACTCCAGGGTTCCTCTGGCGGCTGCAAGAGAATTCTATCTCCGAACCCCATGCCCAGACCATTTTTGCGGCTTCTTATTGTGTTCCAGGTATACTACCAAGTACAGAGCGGCACAGAGAGGATGGAGCAGGGTGTCAAAGGGGTCCAGGTTTGTGGGACACGTCCATGCGCATTCACTAGCATGAATTTGCAAGAGCTACATAAATCAGCGTATCATTTACGTGTTGTGGAGCGTGTCGCAACTGAATCTCAGCCGATGGCTGGAAAACAGATTTCTTTTGCAGCGTGTGACTGTGCAGCTTCATCAGGGCACCGTCCTACACACCCCCAAGGGGTCGCTTTTCAGGATATTGGGCCGGACCACTTTTCGGGACCGCCCTCCTGGGGCTTTCCTGAGGCTAGCATGAGTAGGACTCTGAAGGCAAGTACAGGTACGATGCGCAACAAGTAAAAGAGCATCCAGCCGACTTCACCTCCCGCACGGTAGTAACATGTCTTCCTTGAGGCGTTCCGTGCTGCAATTGTGCGCTTATCGCGGGTTCTGTCCAGGTAAAGGAAACTATCTGTGTTTCGCATGCCCTGCATGCGTGCCCTGCATGACCTCACTTTGGCGGGCGACGCGCGTCTGGTCCCCGGGGTCGTTCCGAGATGAGCTTCAGCAGGTACGCGACGAGACCGACCTTACGAATTGCTTGGAAATGTGGAGAAAAGTATGCTGAGACTATACCCAAAGAAAAAAAACTAAGCTCTTCTTCATCAAAAGCAGCACACCGGCTTTCTCAAGGTTATGGGTTGCAAAATTGTCCACCCGAAATCCTGGACCCTAAACCCTAAACATCGCAAACTACCCTCTAAACCCCTAAGTCCTAAACACGAAAGCCCATAAACCCCCAAACCTGAACCTGCCGGAACCCCAAACAGCGGAACCACCAAAAACTCCAAAAACCCTAAAGCCTAAAACCAAAACCCTAAAACGCTAAACTCATCCTAATGGAACCGTAGCCTTAAATCCCAAACCCTATGGCCCAGGCACCCCCTCCCAGAAGCCACCAGACAAAGGCGAAAGACTGCTGCTTGTCGCCTCGCCTTTCAGGTGTCGGAGATTGCTGGTTGCTTGGGGCTTAGGGTTGGGGGTTTTGGATTTAGGTTTTAATGTTTGGGGTTCGGGCTTTTATGGGGGGCGACACCGGTTTGGGTTTTAGGGGCTAAGGTTTGGATTTACGGTTTGGGGTTTAGGGTTTGGGGTTTGGGGTTTAGGGTTAAAGAATGTTACCTCAAGAATGGAAAATCAAATGGAAAAGGAAATTGCAACAAGGGCTATATAGGGGTTTTGCCACTGGTTCTAGAGGCGAATGGAGAAGAAACTGTAAACTACCGGGCTCATGTGGGTGTGTATAGGTTTTCTGATTTCTCCTACAAAAAAATCACATGGAAAAGCAATGAAAAAGTGGAAACTACTATGTATGGGGGTCATAAAGGGATAGTACTCAAATAACGGAGAATCAAATGCAAAACAAAATGGGATTATTTAGGGGAATGGAAAAACCCTAAACCCTAAACCCTAAACCCCGAACCCTAAACCCTAAACCCTGCGAGGCTTACTGAGGACCAGTCAGAGGAGGCTTGTTTCCAATGGGGGAAATGTAAATCCAGAAGATCTAGGTACCTTTTTGTGTTATATAAAGGGTATATAGCGCTTGCTTACGCAAGGTCTCTACATGGTAACTTCCCTGCTGTAATTGCCGTAGATGTAAGGCTTATGGAAAGGAACATCATATGGAACGTCAAGTCGAAATGAAAAACCCTAAACCCTAAAACTCTAAACCCGGGAGGGTGGGCTCACAGAGGAATATGGGTCTAAGCAATGGGCGTGGATGGACAAGAAAATGGAAACTGTCATAGGAAATACGATTTAATGTTTTGGGCTTATGTCTTAAGGTAGGGTTTAGGGTTTAAGGTTTAGGGTTTAGGTTATCTCTTAAGGGCTTCTGGGCTTGAGGTTTAGGGTTTTTTGTAGGGAAAGAAGCGTGAAGGAAATGGCAACCAATATAATGTTGAAGATAATATAGGGTGTACTGCAGGGATCCACTCCTCCATTGCCCACTAACAACCAGGAGGACTTTGCCCAAGCCTTCGGCCTGTGGGGTGTAGGGCTTCGGGTCTGTAAGGTTCGGCGCCTGTAATGTTTTGAGTCTGCGGTGCTTGGGGTGTAAGGGATTTGTGTCTAAGAGGTATAGGTCCAAAAGGTTTAGGTAAAACTCTAAAACCTAAATACTCTAAACCCTAAACCCTAAACCCTTAGGTTTTGGAACCTGAGGTCTACCAGGTATGACAATGTACCGGAAGGCACTGGCATGTTCTGAAACCTCTAAGCTTAGCTTTGGTTGGCTGGGAATGAAGGAATGGAAAAGACAATGCAAAGTACTATAGGGCTTAGGGTTTAGGGTTTGGAAGGAATGGAACAAAATGGAAACTACTATAATGGGATATGTAGGGACTACTATAAGGATCCATTCCTTCATTCCTAGCTAACCAAAGGTAAGTAAGAAGGCTTCGCGCTGGCCTAGGCATATATAGAGGCCCTAACATACTGACCATGACCTCTTGTGGTCACTATTAATGGGTAGGGGTCCAACCTAACTTTGTGAGCTCCTATATGCTTCAAAATTCTGGTCCATGTTGGGGGTCGACCCTCAATATTAGAGGACGTATTGCCATGGGCACCCAGACGAGGACCCGCTACAGATCATCAAAGATGTCTGTGCAAGGAACTCTGAAGAATATGATGCCCGGCTGCGGGAAGAATATGTAAGTGGTTGAAAAAAACATGTGTTGCTGATGTGAATGTACATACACGCAATTGTGTACACGCGTATGCACACACACACAACTTTACACATGAGTCAAACAAACTCTATATGTACATCTATATATATATATACAAGTTTCTATCCACTTTTTCGTTGCCCAAATATCATCTCAGTTATACTTACAGATTTATATGACCCTAAACCCTAAACCCATTTATGCACTCTCACAAAAAGCCAGAAGAGCCCTATGCACCCACCAGACTGCATCCATAGCCAGAAAGTCCTAAACCCTAAACCCTAAACCCTATTCCGGCCTTTGGTTGGGATGTAGGGTGGGTTCGATACCACAAGGTCAAAGGCTGCATCATTGTTCAGAAAGGCCACTGCCTGGGTTGCTGTTAGGGAACTTCAGTTGAGTTACCATAATCTGGGTTCTTGTTGAAATACAATTAAAAAAGACCTTTTTTGTTGATATTGGGCCCAGGTAACTATATAAAGGTAAAATTTTGTTCTACAAGAGCCCAGTAATATGGGTACATAATGGTGTATAGTAAATAACAGGCTTAACCTATTAGAATAAGTGAATTTGGGGTTCCATAACTGCAAACCAGCTGCATCTTCCGCACGGAACTTCCAGTCGATGGACCGGCCAGCAACACCCACCACGCTCTGTGCATTGAAGGTGCTGCCCTGGTAGTATTTGGTAGCGACGGGGTCAATATCTATGAGTGTGACCTCTAAGTCGCCATCTCCCTGTGCATGATGTGCAGCAAACTTTCCTATCAGCCCAGATCCGCTTCCGACGTCAATGACTCGCCCAACCTGTGGCATATCTCCTAAGCAATCTACCAAGGCCCGGCAGACCAAGATCGTGTCAATACTGGGCTGCATAAACCGCCCACCAGGCGGGCGAGCAAAAATCATGCCCACGTCCCGGTAGTGCAGGTATCTCTTTTCATGTGGCTGCACAACGAATCCCCTGTAGGCATTGGACATGACCACAGGGTTCTTGACTCGAATATCCGGGCCCCCGGGCGCGTGCGAAACCACCCCATCCTTGACGACACCCGAATCCCAAACTAGCTGCTCAGCCACCTCGTCATCAAAAACGACAATGGGAAGGCTCCCGACTTGCACACTTGGGGGGAAGGTGGCAAAGTCCAAGTCGTTTGAGATGAGCTCCTGATCCTGGGTAGTTGACCCACTGTGTGTTGAGGATCCCGGAGACGAGCCCTTGCTGGCAGGTTTCTTGCCTCAGGCAAACTCGGCATGTTCAAACGGGCTCTCGTTCAAAGGATCAGTAGTTTCAACAAATTCCAGAAAGACTAGCCTGATGGTGCGACTCTGACAGAGCGGTGGCTTTCACAGAAACACGCCCCAAAAACCTTATTGGGGGGGTTAGTAGGGAATAAGGGAATATATTATGCAGGGTTTTATGTAGAAATCATATTTCCTTGTTCCCTACAGGGCTTGCGTTTCGTCTAGGTCGCTCCACATGGCCTGTAGCTACCCCAGAGTATAGTAGCTACTTTGTCTATAGGGTCTAGGGTTTAGGGCCTATTAGGGTGGTTCAGGGCTCGGGAAGTTCGTACAAAGCTTACACAACCTCCCGAAGCCAACTCAAAGTATGAACCCCACTCAGGCCCAACCTCAAACCCTACACTGTAGAACCCCAATATTTCGTATTCGTTCATAAACAAAAAATATACCCCAACACAATAAGGCTGGATAAGCACCCAGCTGGCTGTAGGACCCCTCGTAGAAGCTAAACGCTTAGTCTTCCTAATAGAATGAGTGGGAAACCCAAAAAGCCAAAGTCCTAAGAGCCCCCCTAAATCCAGCCAAGTTAATACATGGTACTTGATCAAACTTCCTGTTCCCAAAATGGCCACGATAAAAAATGGTTCCTTGGATTTTCCAATCTAGACCTACAAGAACCCCAAATAATGTCCCAAAACGACCTCAACCCCCACACTCGATAAAATCCCTATTTATACCACTGGATAAGCCCAGCTTCCATCATATTTTCTGCTTCATAATCCCTAATAAACCCCTACATAGCCCCAATACAATCCCTGTATGATCCCTGTCTAGCCCTCCCCAATATAACCCTAGATATTACCTATCAGCAGCCCTCAACCCTAAATCCCAAGCCCTTAAAAAACCCTAAACCTAAACCCTAAACCTAAAACCCAAACCCTAACCCCAAACCCCAAGCCCCATAGCTCCGTAACAGAAAAACTGAAGGCCAAACGGCGCACGCTTCTGTCACTCATGTCGGCGGGTAGATGAGCTTGCTTCGCCTGCTCGGGGTTGCTGTTAAGGGTTTTGGGTTTTGGTTTAGAGTTTAGGGTTTAGGGTCCGGGGTTTTGAGTTTAGGATTTTGGGCTTCAGGGCTCAGGGTCTTGGGGCTATGTTTTGGGGTCCAGGGTTCAAGGTTTACGGAATAACGGAAACGAAAATGGAAAGCGAAGTCAAAATTGTGGATAAATAGGGTCGACGTGCAGGCTTAAGGGATTTGAAGTTCAGCTTCCAAAAACTGGATGTATAGTAAATGATCAGGTTTCCTTACAATGATAGTTAAGTGCAAGTTGGCTACCAGCAACCCAGTGGGAGGGTGGGGCTCAGGAGTTGGACTTCAGGACGGAGTTTGGTTGTTGGGCGCTTGGAGTTTAGGGTTTGGGGCTTAGGGTTTAGGATTCCGGGTTTAAGATTGGGGGTTTAGGATTTGGTAGTTTCCCAAAATGAGGGGACCCCAATATAGACCCCAAAACAATATAATCCTTATTATTGGGACCCCTAGAAAGGTACCCCTAATTTTGGGAAGCCCGCATTTAGGGTTTAGGATTTAGGGTAGGGTTCAGCTCTTGGGCCTTGGGGCATAATTGTTTTGCATCGCTTTCGGATTTTAGATTTGGGGGGCATGCTGCAGGAGTTTTAGTAACTAGCGCGAGTAGCATGGGTAAGTGCATGTTGCAGAGGTTTTGGGGTTCACATGCGGGCCACATGAAAGCAATTGTCATGCTGATTCTCTTTATTGCGCCTCATTTGGGCTTCAGCATCTGAGGCTGAACGTTGCAAGACTTGAAAGAACATTTCCGACAAGAAAGGCGCTTCTTGCCATGCTGGGTCTGGCATCCAAGCTTTTCTCGCCACCCAGCCCCCGTGTTCTCATGACCAGCAATTTATAAAGGCGGCTACACCAGAATCCATACTCAGAGACTCAGGGTGCCCACTGCAAGAACAGACAACGCCACACAGACCTACAGCAACCCTAAGCCCGTAGACGGCTCCTACCATGCGTCCCTGTCGAATACTTTCTACTCTTGCCTCCCAAAGGATTCGGCAACTAAGATGAACTATGGCTTCTCTCTTTGCAGCCAAGGCAACGCATTGGTACAGGTTCGGAAACTTTCAGATTTCCCATGATACCCAACACTACTTACTGTAAACATCCTCCTCCACCGCATAACACACTAACCATACAACTTCTCTCGAAATACCCTGAACCCCTTTCCTTGAAGCCTAGACCAGTTGGTTTGGATCCCGGGGCCTCCCGCTCCCTAGGACTATCAGAATCACTGCGCCCTCGTGCGGCCTGCGACAATAATGGCATTGCTGTGTCAGTTGCTCTCTAAACGGCATCAAGGTGGAAGACACCTGACCCTTGAGGAGTTGTTGCGCACTTCTCATCTGAAGTTGAGTTGACTTTTCTCATGTAGGTGGTGGAAATGGAAAGTTTCAAAGTTCCAAGGCGAACGTTTCCAGTCCAGGGCCTCTGGGGTTTAGGGTTTGAGCTGAGGCTGTATGCAGGTAGGGGGTTTGAAGCTTCGGGTTTGGTAGGGCCCAAATTCATAGCTTTGGACGGAGGCTTTGGCGAAGCACCCTCAAATTCTTAACTGCTCGGACATACATCAAAGTGGTGATGAGTGGCGGCGGCGGTCGCAAGGGTGGCGACGGTTGTGATTGCAGCGGTGGTGGCAGCAGTCATCATAATAGCAGCCGCAGCCGCAGCCGCAGCCGCAGCAGCAGCAGCAGCAGCAGCAGCAGTTGCAGCGGCAGCAGCAGCGGCAGCGGCAGCGGTAGCGGCAGCGGCAGCGGCAGCGGCAGGAGTAGAGGCCGCCGCCGTCGTCGTGATCGCCGTCGTGATCGCTGTCATCGTCGGCGGCGCCGCGGCGGCGGCGTCGGCATCGGTGTTGTAGCCGTAGCTACAACATTAGCAGTAACAAAGGCCCCGGCAGCAGCGGCAGCAGCAGCAGCAGGCAGCAGCCAGCAACCAGCAACTGATACTAACTAGTACGAATACGAGCACGAATACTAATACTACTTGCTGTTCTTACCGAAGTATGAAAAAAGTCGCCGTCTCGCTAGTAAAGTTTGTAGCACTAGAAAAAGGAGCTATAGACCGAATGTACGAATGGATGGCTTTTGGCGCCGTGCGGGGTGAAATCATTGCAACAACTGCTCATCGGCCATATGGGAGGGTCGAAGCTAAGCAATGGCTGGCACAATATAGGGCAAAGAAAAAGAGCTCGCGTAGAAAGTTGTGAAAGCATGGGCTCTTCTCGGATCAGCAGTATGATATGAACATAACTACACACATAAAAATGCCAGTGCTTTGTCAAAACCTCCTATTCCCTGTATCCTATAGACAGTCAAGCTCGAAAATCCCAAACCTCATACCAAAAACCCTCAAGCATGTCATCCTTGCGGCTCCCCACGGGAAGGCAGCCCACGCAACTGGCGACCATGGCACATGGGGTGCCCTCAAGCTCGGCTTCTGTCCAAAGCCGGGCACTTTACAGCGAGGATTGATGGAAATAGGCAAGTACCCACACCTGCAAAATGAAAAAAGCGTGGTTGCTAAAGCCCTCTCCCTCTCTATCCCACACCTTCTGAACCGTCTGCCAGCGCGACTTCTGCAACGTTGGAGCCAGCAGAGGTGCGAGGCGGAACGCTCATGGTGAAGGTTCTTAAGGAAAAACAATTATATCCCTATAACGGCCCGAGCACAGGGTCATGCTTTCGGGAAGCTTCCTTGTGGCAGACAAAGTTGCGACCTGACGAACAGATGTCAGGACCAGTGGCTACATGGGGATACAAGGAGTTTCCACCGTTCCCAGTCCCTCTACAAACTATTTAGGGATGGATTTGATAACTACAAGAGAAAGGTGACATGTAAAGAGCTGGCTTCAGGGGCAACTCTAAGCACCCTAATTCTAGGATTCCAAATTCAGGGTCACATTGGCGAGCCCCTACAATATGGATTATAATGTGGAGTCTACAATGTTTGTGCCTCCTATTATGGAACCCCCCATCCTGAGGAAAAGCCGAAACACCTTAACCCTAAACCATAACCCCCGAATCAAACCCTAAACCTCTCACCCCTAAACCCCTACACCCTAAACCCTCAAGCCTACTAGACCTGAACCCTGCGGCTTTTAATCTCCGGAGCTTCAGAGTGCCAGCTGCAACTGGTGCCGTGCGTTCAAGACTGTTCTCACAGCGGGCTGGTAGGGAATGAAGGAATGGAAAAGAAGATGGAATTTTCTATAGTGGGTATGGGGTGTTCGCATTTAAGGAGTTAAGGGTTTAGGGAGTTCAGGATTTAGGTTGCAGGGAGTGGAAACGAAAACTGAACAGGTTTAAATACCCGGGATTGCTTTAAGGGTTCATTCCCCGATTCCTACTAAGCACCAGGAAGCTGTTCAATATACCCTGAGGATCACATACAGTACGAGGAGTTTGCATAGACGATAAACCCTAAACCCTAAGCCTGTTCCCAGTGGATTTTCCCCAGGGTTATAAACCAAGTTATACTTGGTTACTAACTCCAAGTAGCAGGCCGTATGATTCCCGTTTAGGAAATATAGCCGTGCATTGTACATATATCTCTCAGTCTCCTCTTACATTAGACAAGGATTCCTGAATGGCTGCCTGAAGCAGGCACCCGGTAGAGCCCCATTTTGAACGGACAGCAGACTGCATCGGTGGGT